TCTATGTCACCTGGTTCCTGAAGCACAAGTAGGCAATGCAATCCAGTAAGCTTATGTTTCTGATTAGTCAGGTTATGAAGAAACTGACCGGTTACGTTTTAACCCCAAGCATCCTATCCTAAATAACAGGGATTTGAACACCAAGACCTGATGGCGATGACACACTACAAGCTTTCATTAAGCTCGGCGAATTTTATCTATCACAAGGAAGCCAAAATACAGAGAGCTCACATTTTTCTGCTTTCGTTTTTATCTACATTGATCGACAATGCTCTTTTGGAAATAGATACTAGTACAATTTTGCACCAGCAACTAAGTTTTGAATTTCTTGGAAACCAATTCCCATTTGCCTTCTACTGATGCCAGACTTTAGCAGTCCAGAAAAATCCAAAGCTCCTTCCAGTGAAAACATTTGTCAAGAAATAAACAGAACCAAGGACAACATACTCCTCTTCGATCCATATTTCATCAAGGAGATTTCAAGTTTAATACTAAAGTACAAAATACAAAAAAGGTCCTAACTTGAACTTTTTTCTCCCAATTATTGCCCCTAGCCAAAAATCTAGAAACTGGGGGTGGACACTCGCGCTATATTTTAGACTTAGAATCTGATTTTTCAGTGATAGACGTCAAAATTAACTATGTTGGAGATCTTGATCCTACACAATAATTCAAGAGCAAGAAAGCCCTATATCTCAAAACCGTAAAAGGGGGGGGGGGGGGCGCGCGGGGGGAACCATAAAAATCTCGATTTTTGACAAGAAAAGCAAGTTAAACAAGATTCCGGTAGATTAGAAGCATGAGATACATCAATACTACAAGCCCAGATAAAAAATAATTCATTAGAAAATATAGGTGACAGCAGTAAAACTGAAACCTGGAATCTGCAAATGTAGTAATCATCCCCAACATAAGCCCTCAACATCTCAACCGGCTTCGCCAATGGATTTCTGGGAATAAAAGCAACGCTCATGTTGACCAAGGCCTTGACTTTATCAGGCCTAAACATGCACAAATACCAAGCAACCATGGCACCCCAGTCATGCCCCACCACAAACACCTTCTCCTCATCAGGTGCAATCGCGTGAAGGAGTGCTACCAGGTCTCCAACTACATGCAGACAAGTGAACTCGGAGCTATCATTGACGGGTGCACCGGTGGTGTCGCCGTAGCCACGGAGGTCAGGCGCCACTGCCCGGTAGCCGTGAGCAGCCAGGAAGAGGATCTGGTGGCGCCATGAGTACCAGAGCTCCGGGAAACCATGAATAAACAGGACCAGTGGGCCTTGACCAAGCTCTGCTATGTGAATGCTCAGGCCGTTCACATTCACATTCTTGTGCTCAATCTTATCCATCTTCTTGCTTGTGACTGAGTATTCTTCTGTCGCTCGGTCCGTATTTTATTTTCAGTCCGAGTCGGAGGTGCAGACAAAAAGGTTGGACTTGAACACTTTATAGATGGAAGAGAAGACGAGATTGAGTGGTCCATATAAGCTGGAAGGTTCCGTTCCCGTCTTAGCCGGTCCTAGGGTACAGTAAGCGATTTATTTAGCACAGTCTAAGCTAATTAATGTGAATTGAGTCATGACGAGGAGTGGCGGTTAGCACCAATAGCAGAATCTGCTAAAGTAAATGCCATTTGGCGGCGGCAATGGCAGCAATGGCACTCCATAATACAGTAAAAGATTTGGATCAGACCTGACGGACTTACAAAGGAACTTGCAAATTTTTAGTTTGGAGTTCCAGTTACACTACTATTAGTTGTTTATTCATCCCAAGTTCCGTCAAAAATATCTACATTGGGAGTTGTAACTTCTTAGCCAGACTAATTCAGTCCTTGCCCTGCTGCGCCGTCTCTCTCTCTAATAGTAGTCATCAGGCTAGTTCCGGCTAATTCAAAACTTGTAGTGGTATGCATGGAATTTACCTACCCTGAGACGGCAGCTATAAATATAGTATGTATATTACGGCCAAAGCTAATTGGCTGCACGATCACTTGGCTCACCAAACTTATAGCCGTACGGTACAAAGGAGAGCCCAACACTTGATGCCCAAGGGGCCCACGTCCCGTGCATTAGAGGACGAATAATTGAATTCATATTTGCTTTTGATTTGTTGAGCACATCAGTTCACTGAAATATTATTAAAAAAAAAAAAAAGGGGATAATTTCAGAAACCTCAAGGGGAGGTTTTTGACAATTTCCCTCGGCTCCAGTAATTACATAGACCTCCCTTGATCTAATCAAATGATTAAAATGTCCTCCACTTAATAGTTAATTCATAAAGGGACATTAAAATCGAAAAATACTTCTTATTATTCTACTTGTCATTTCCTAATCTCAAAAAAACTATCTCCATCAATTTCTAATTTTCATCTCTTCCTCCCTCCTTACGGCTAATTTCTCAGATTATTTGTATTTAAAAAAAACATCCGCCAAATGCACCTCTGACATGGGTTTTTCTAATTGTATAGCGTCAGCACGGCCGCATAACTAAAAATTCCACCCAGATCTTCTCTGCAAAAAAATTCAATGATGCACAGTCGGTGTCAGAGGGGACGGGCTGACTGGGCACGTCCCCGGCTGACAGAAAACTGACTCCGTCTGCGTATGAGTCAGAGGGAAAAAAGCAAAACTTGCATTATTCCATCCGGGAAAAAAAAAGGAAAAGATAAGGAAAGGAGCAAGTGAGCTCCATTGATCGAAAAGAGATTCCCCTGCAGCTTTTTTGTGCTAATGGTGCAGGCGAACCCCAACTACAGCCAGCAAAAGTTTTTAATTAAAAAAAGAAATTTAAGCTGGCTGCCGGCTTGCAAGTTTTTTTCTTTTTTTTTTTTTTAAAGTTAAGTTGCAGGTTGTCAGCCGACTAAACATTGTTAAGTACTTTTAAGTACTATTATATTTATTTTTACCTTTATTCTTTTAACAACCCACTACCAAATAATAATTTATTTGTATATTTTATTTAGATATATATCAATTTTCTATATATTTTATAAAAAAATATAAAACCAAATTTTATACATAATAATTTCAACGATTATTTTTCAAACATTTGGAAAATGCATATTCTTGTAAATTGAATGACATTTTTTTATCTAAAAACTTTTTTTAGGGATAAAAATAATTAATTTAGCAAATTTATCTTGACCTTTTTCATACGTTTGAGCTTAACAAAAAATTAACCACAAAGGCTACCGATAGCATAAGTTTTTATTTTTTTTTTAAAGTAAGCTACAGGCTGCAGGGCTCAAACCTTAAAAAAAAAAAAAAAGAATTCTCTTGTCTACCGGACTGACTCAGCCCGGTAGGCATAGTTTTCTACTGCCAAATTGTCAGAACAACATTGTTCCGACCTTTTTTTTTTGGGCAATAATCAGAGCAATTAGCCCAGTTTCAATTATCAAAATTAAAAAGCAAGATAGGCTTTCAAAGTTGAAATTTTGATACAAAAATGCACATGTATCTTAGAAAATTTAGTCTTTACTTTTGTAATAAATATGATGACTTTTATTTTATATGGTTGTGCATTTGTTTATTTAATTATAAAGGGTAACTAATTGCTTGAAAATGTTATTATGTTGAATATGCTAGATATTTTGGAGAAGTTTATTACAGTTCTTCTCTAAAGATAGAAGATTGTGCAGCGTTTCTTTCTCATGCCATTTTAGAAGGAATTTTTTCTTTTTTTTTTGGTTTGTTTACAAAGTTTAATAGATGGCATATTTGGCTTACAATATCAAATTGGATTTTTATGCTACTAGAAACAGGTAAAGAGAGGGTGTAACTTGAAATTGGAGAGGAACTTTCTGCAATTGTCATAGATCTTGAAAGAAGTTCGTGAAATTATCCATATTCTTTTTCATAATTGGGCTGAATCAATCGTAATCAATTAAGTATCCCTTAGTGTGGGTTGGTAGGAAAATTTGGCGTGAATGAAAGGTTTGCAATTTTGATGCGCTTTTAGTATTGCCCACCAGGCAGTATACCACTCGAAATGGAAAAATAAATTGGGGGACGTGCCCAATCAGCACGTCCCCTCTGACACATGAGCAGACTCTGTCGGATTTCTTTCAGGCGGGGACGTGCCCAGTCAGCACGTCCCCTCTGACTCATATACAGACGAGTCAGTTTTCTGTCAGCCGGGGACGTGCCCAGTCAGCACGTTCCCTCTGACACCGACTGTGCATCATTGAATTTTTTGCAGAGAAGATTTGGGTGGAATTTTTAGTTATGCGTCCGTGCTGACTCAGCACGGCCGCTATACAATTAGAAAAACCCATGTCAGAGGTGCATTTGGCGGATATTTTTTTTAAATACAAATAATCTGAGAAATTAGCCCCTCCTTACTTCCCCCTTTCATATTCCTCTCTTTTTTTCTCTTACGATTGCTTCTCCCTCTCACCAAATATCACGCTCCATTATTGCCAACCATACTACTATCAATTTTTTACCATCTCTAAACTTTATCTGTATTTTTTGTTTTTCTGTCTCTTTATTACTATAAAAATTTTAGACCCTTTCTTTTTTGTTTTTTAAACTTTATCTGTATTTTTTGTTTTTCTGTCTCTTTATTACTATAAAAATTTTAGACCCTTTCTTTTTTGTTTTTTTTCCCAATAGTTTTACCCTTTACAAATGTTAGCCAATTGAAGTTACCAAATTAACAAGGTGCAAACTGTGGATTTTATTGTCAACTAGGGAAAGATGAAAAAGGTGACAGTGATATAGAAAAAAATATATATGAAATTGAAAGTTGGAATATAAAGAAGTTACTATTATGTTTGTTAAGCAAAAAAGTCTAGCAATTACTTATTGGTTCTCTCTTTTATTTATTTATTGATTGTGATTTTACTATAAAGGTAGAATTTTGTCTCTATTTCTAAGAGTGCTAGAGCAATGATGAATTATGTGGATTTCATTGTCAAACTAGGGAAAGATGAAAAAGGTGACAGTGATATAGAGAAAAAAAAAAAAAGGATATGATACATTGGACAATTGGTAGAGTGAAGAAATGAACATCCATTACACAATCGTTCTAGAGAGTGTGCATATTCAGAGGGGAACGGGAAAATGTAAAGGCATGATATAATACAATTATTAATTTCAGCACATCTCAAATTTCTTCCATAGGCCGGCCACCTTGAAGACTATGCCCAAATGAACATCCACAACAACACACTTTCAGGAAAAAAAAAACCACAAACTATAAGGGAAATAGCAAACAAGACAGACATTTAGGACAAGGATATTTACAGCAGAGAACATCTCGGGGAAGAAAACTTCTGGATGAATTGATGAATGTATTTGTTAATCTCATCAGGTTTCTCTTCATGCAAAAAATGGCCAACCCCTTTCATCACCACTACTTCATCCAAGAATGGTACATCTTTTTTAAGCCCTCCCTTGTGGAGATAATCCTTGGTGCCCGGTGCATTATAGGTCAGATCCAGGTCCCCAACAACAAACTTGACTGGCACTTTAACCTGAGCCCCTGTCCATGGTGCAGTCAGTTCCCAATTTCTGCACCAAAGCGGAGCACAAAACAACAAACATATCCATCAAAACTTGTTGCCCTTTTAAGTATTCTGTGCTCAAGAAATATAACTATGGTTATCAACAGGATTCTCTAGGCTTACATGTCTAGTGCTCTGTAATAATTCAGACCTCCAGTAAAGCCACTCTGCGCATACTGGTTAACATAGTAAGCAACATCTTCTTCAGATAACCAAGAGGGCAAAGTTGTAGGGGCATCAGGTGAATCTCCGAAAAGTATTCCCTTTGGCAGAAAAAGTGGACCAGGAGCACGGTAAGAAAGAAAGTTCTCCAGAACTCTCTTGGTTCCAACTTTGGCAAACTCCTCTTCTATTTCTCCAGGTTCCTGAAAAGAACCAAATGACCTGTCAATCAGATACCAAGCCAACAAATAGGTATATATACCCAATAGTATAACTCTCTGTGCACACAGTACTGCGGCCATAAATCTTTAGTTGTGTCCGTTTTGTTGTTTTATCTTACAGATTGTATATAGTCATTGAAGATCTTAATTACAAGTTAATCCAACTACCTTGTTATAACAGAAGACATAGAAACGGTGGAGCACCTACTCTTTCATTGCAGAAATGCTAAGGAAGTATGGAAGCTATCACCAGTGACATGGGATGGAATTGAAGACCAAAGAGGGAACTTGAACAGATGGTGGAATGTTCTAACAGATGCCAGAAGTAGACCTGAAGGAATGGAACATATAGCATTGACTGTTAACATTCTTTGGCAGATTTGGAAGGCAAGAAATGAGAGTTTTCCAGGAAAGCAGAAGACCGCTAATCAAGATAATCCAGGAAGCTCAAATGGAGTGGCTAGAATTTCAGGAAGCAAATGCGAAAGAGAACACGATGAGCATGCCAGAAACAAAAGCAGCTGAGACAATACAGGATGATTGCAGAGACAGCGAGAACCAAATTCACATCAGTTTTGCTGTCAAAACTCAAGGATAAGACAGTCAAATGGGAGTTGGCATACTTGCAGTTGATAGCTCAGTGGGCGCTTAAGGAGTTCAGTGGAGGGAACAGCCTGATGGATAATGCTGTGGCTCTTAAACTTGCCATGATCAAAGCAAGGGAATAGCAGTGAAGGAGGATTGAAGTTGACATCCCACAGAGACAACTGATGAAGATGATAGAAACCAACCAGACTGGAGATATGAGACTGTTTTCCCATCTAGAGGATATTCAGGATCTAAGCTCTATGTTTGTGAGATGCTCATTTGTTCTAGCTAGGAATGATATTAGTGTTAGAACAACTAACTTTTGTGATCATGCATTAAGCATGCCTTTTGATGAGAAGTGGTTACTTCCTCAGTGCTTCTAGGCACTTGTATAGCTCTAATGGAGCCTTTGCTCACTACGTGTATAGTTCATACACAAATCTAATAAAATCATCTATCGTTTCTGGGGAAACAAAATAACAATACGGAATGAAGAGGGTTTTTAACTCAAATCTAAAATCAGCTCAGATAATGAACGATACTCACATCACTTATCTGTCTGTGAATCAGGAAGATCACATGAAGAAAATTTTGGATCTCAAATGATAGATGGTATCTAATAAAGAAACAATTTAGCAACCAAATCAGTGTAGAGACATTGTAAAACGTGCATCTGCATCTCTATATTCTACAGCTAAGAATTTTGAACTCGAAAGAAGTATTCCTATATTCATGAAAAAAAAAATTGAATGTTACACACCTGGAACCTACAAACGTAGTAGTCAGGACCACAAACAGCACGCAAGGTCTCAATGGGCTTCCTTTTAGGATTTCTTGGACCGAAACTGACGCTCATGTTGAACAAAGCTTTAACTTTATCAGGTCTATACAAACACAAAGCCCAAGCCATGACTGCACCCCAATCATGCCCCACCAAGAACACCTTATCTTCATCTGGTGCAACAATTTTCAGGAGCTCAATGATATCTCCCACGACATGGAGGGTGGTGAACTTGCTGGGGTCATCAATAGGTGCGCCAGTTGTGCCACCAAAGCCACGGAGGTCCGGCGCCACAGCCCTGTGGCCGTGGGATGCCATGAAAGACATTTGATGGCGCCAGGTGTACCAGCATTCAGGAAAGCCATGAAGGAAGAGAACTACTGGGCCTTGGCCTATTTCTGCTACGTGCATGTTTATCCCATTTACTTCTATGTTTTTGTGCTCTATCTTTTCCATCTCTTTTCTTTCTGCTCCTTACACAGAATTATGGAGGGGTTAGGATTTGGGGCACTTTCTTGATTATATTTATCGCAGAAGAAGAAGGGGAATAAGGGAGATTCCTGCACTCTTTTGTTAAGACTATGAAAGAGGCAATGCGGGAGCTCTTTATACTTATCACACTCCATTACGTCCTGCACTCTTTTATATTTATCCAGATTCTGCAGACGCTACTCGGGTCGAATTCGGATAAGTCGGTGCTCGATGGAAAAAAAAGTGGTAATGCACCTGAGATATCTTGATTTGATGAACATGATAGACTTATCCTTTTCTTACCAAAAAAAATCTAGTCATACTGGCTGTGTCCATAAAAGCTACTATGTACTCCTCTTTTGTATTTGGATCAATTGAACACGTTTTCTTGTTTCATGAATTCTTACGTGTTGGATTGTAGTTGCACAAGTTAAAATGTAGTTCTGTAAAACTCAGTGGTATTTATTATAGCTTGTCAAATGCTTCTATGAAGGTTGCATTAACTTAGGTTTACTCGTGTAACTCACATTCTACGATTAGTAAAACTTTGATGTTGCATGCCAGTTCCCACATATCGCTTTGACTTGGTTTTCCGAGGAGGAAGACACAATAATACTATGAAATCACGAACAAATTTTAGCTTTGTAAAAGGAATTGGAAGTGGTTGACGAAGGGGTCAAGTCTCTTATGCTTGGATTGAGAGATGGGTAATGGATTTCTTGTTATTGATGAAAAGAATGCTCTGGCATGCGCAAGAACAGGAAAAGACGAGAGAAGGACTCAACTTTTCTTTTCTACAATGGTGGGCCGCGTCTTGAAGCTCGCGTTTGGTGGGGCAAAGCCGAATGCTTTCAGTTTCCACCCTACGTTTATTATTCCAAGGACTGAAAGCGGGGGAGAATTGAGAATTCCATTTGCGACATCACTGATTTAGTGATTTGAAATTTGATGTGCCGAATTGGTTGAGCAGGTTGTACAACATTTTAATGCGCAGACATGTGGTTAATGACTTCATTAGCCTTTTCAATCAGTTTTCACAATTACATTTTTGCCCTTCGGGATACTCTATGCTCTTTGTGCCTTTGTCTATGCTTTTTACTACAAAGCCAATCCATCGCATGCTAGAAAGGAGTAGCCTCTATCTATTCGAATTCTGCTCATTAGTCGACTAATCTAAGTCTTTCTCTGTTGGTTGTTCCTCTTCATAAATCGAAATGCTTTCATTTTGGTACATTTAAAGTTTTGATTTAGGCAGACATCTAGGTATTTATAGAATATGAAATTATTTTACAATTGTTTTTGCATCGAAGACAACTCATATAAGTTTATGTGTTATTGTAATTACTTAAATGATATTATAGACACATTTAATTAAAGTGTGGTTTTTATTGTGTAATTAACATAAAGACATATTAACACGTTGTGCAATTAATACGTTGCTATAACTAGTTATTGGAGGATATTCCTTTATCTGAAACAACTTATGTCTACTATTGGACGATTTTCAACTAATATCTGTAGGGATCTTTTGGTAATAATAAAATTGTAAAAGTATTGATAAAACAAAGTGTATATGTGTATGCTGCAATTAGAATATATTATTATTAGTTTTATTTGATAACTAATATTTTTTTAGAATATATTATTATTTATTCAATAAAAAATTTTCTTTTATTACAAGCACCAAATACTTGCGTGATGCGCGGCACTGCCCGGTATTATTTGAAAAAATATGGCAATCCAAACACACATGACCGGTTTTCATATTTGTGGGTTGTTCACAACTGTCTTCGTGTTTTTCCATCAAGAACATAGTGCTTGTGATTCAAGTTGCATGGACTGGACCCAAGCATAGTGTAATTCGCAGTCTAAGTAAGCCCAGTCATATATATGTCTGAACTTAAATTCTTCCGGCAGAAGCCCAAATCTCGTGCCCAACATGGTAAAAAATATATATATCCCTTGTCTTTTAGCATTTCTTTTCTGTTTCGACCAAAAAAAAAAAAAAAAAAAAAAAACGATAACATAACAAAGGATTAAAGATCTGTTCACTCGGAGTTCCGACATTGACTGGTATTCGCTCGTGAGAAGGCTGACACATCCCACGTTACATTGGAATGCTCGAAAAATTGAAATCTAAGCAGAGCTCCGACAGCAACAGGGAACAGCCGCCTCATAAACTGCATGCTTTGTGGAACCATCACATTCACATTCATGGCAAATATGTGCCTGCAAAATCACAATCATAATGCAGCTGCCAAGCCACCGTTTGGTTGTTTGGAGACAAATGCCAAAGCTCTCCTATTTAGGTCCTTTGCCTAGTTCTTCTACTACCATTTGCTATCCATGCCAAGTTGCCTATTTATTTGCCCTCCATCAAGACAAAGAGAGAGAGAGAGAGAGAGATGAACAAAATTTTCTATGGTCAGCTAAGTCAATTGATCGGATCTTATCTAAATTTAATCCAAATCCAATATATTTAGGTAGAGTTAGGGTTTAATTTCTCAAATTCAAATTCTTTCCAAATTCAAACCCTATAAGAGAGTTGTGAGTTTGAATATGATATGTTTTTCTTTAGTACATATTCAAATCAAATCCTCCTTAAAACCTCTGTGTGTGTGTATATATAAGTAAATTTATAAAATGATACAATATTCTATGGCTATTGGATCAAATACAGTAAGATTTCGTAACTGATTAAATAACAGTACTTTTTTAACCTAAGAAAACATCACCTGGTCTAATATTTATGTTATTTTTGAAATACATATTTTAAGAATATTTTTACTTTAGTTCTTTACTGTATGTTCAGAAAAATATCCGTGGACGTCCATTGAATTCCAAACTCATGAGAGTCTGGATCTAACTTTACTTTTTAAACCCATAAAAGTCTCGAGTCTTAAATTAATGCGAGTCTAACTCAATTTAATGAGTTTAGATCTGGATCAGCTAATCCAACTCAAACCCTAGATTGACATGTCTAGACATGCTCACGGCCCAGCCTCAGCTTTGGGTTGGACTGACTGATTTAATTTGGAGCTTTCCTTTCCGGTTTGAAACAGTAGATCAAGCGTTCCACCTGCACCCAATTGCCTGCCACTACATTTTTCTGTCCACAATATAATAAATAGTACCATGCAATTTGATTTACATTAATTACGGAGCACTATTATTCTCCTGATCTTTTTCTCTTCTTCTTATTGTACCCTTTTAATTATGGAATTGGTACAATGCAATAGTTGATTTGGGATTTACATTTCCAATTTCCAAAAAAGAGAATGAAAAGGGGAGTAATCACCGAGTTAAGGGTCCGTTTGCCACAGTATTGGTCCATTATCCAATGATGGCTCACAAAACAAGAATGAAAGTTCTTTCTCCAAAAGCCATTGCTTAAACTTTAAACCACCCCTTTAACGAACTTACCTAACATTCTGTACAATCATCTATCCACATGGCGCATTAATCTGATACTGATGCATCAGCATCGGCTTTTGGTGCTTTAGCTGTCGGATAAATAATTACGTTTGTTGAATAGGATACTTGTCCAAAAAGCAGCCATGTCCAACTACACATTGCACAAATTTGCTTAAAAGTCAGTAATCTGATCCGAAAGTTTATAACATAAACTGCAATTTGACCCCACCATAGCCAACGGTTACCTAGGATTTCAGCCAGTCAAGAAGCATTCGATACAAACAAGTTCATCAAATAACAGACAAAAGAACAATTAGAATGCAGCTATTGGCTGGCCCAACAGGAACAGATATGAGTCCTCGGAACAAAGAACATTGCACATCCACTCACATCACATGTAGGAGGCAAATGCCAAAGCTCTCCTATTTAGATACTGGAATCTAAACTTAAAAAACTAATCTTTGGTGTCAAGTAATGCATATCTGATGAGGGTTCTTTTTTTTTCTTTTTCTTTTTGAATAATGAACACTCACCATAAGATTCATTTCAGAGTATAGGAGCATTGTCGAGCCATGAAAGTCGTCGATCTCTAGTCCATTAGACCAACTAAAAACCCTTTTGTTTTTTGTATAACAGAACTTACTTCAGATGTTTGAAGCATAAGATTTGCTTTTCACTTTGTTTGACAGAACAAAATTTAAATTGAACCAAATCAAAACCGGAAGGACATGCCACCAAGAAATTCATCATTAACCACAAAATGTCATGAGAAGCAATCCATAACCAACATGAAACAGAAAAAGAGGAAGGCTTTATACTTCCTCCAAAGTCCAACCTACACGAAATTAACGCACCTTTCACTAAAACAACAAGGGTAGTTTTGCAGGTGGGGGTGGGGGCTCAAACTTCAAAAAGGCTAAAGATAAGCCCCAACAAGTATCAAGAAATATATTGAAAACCCCACCACAATGTTAAAGATATAATTGATGATACGTCCTCTGCTTTTACATTTTTTTTTAAAACCCCTTATGTGACCAAATATATGGGCATGGCGGAGGTTGGCACACTATGCTGCTGGTGCTGATGGTCCATGTTAAACTCCCTAAGGCTAATGTAGGGAATCTGCACCTCATCCTTGTCTGCGGGAGTCAGAGTTCCGGCGAGTGGACCGGAGGACGGGCGGCTGGTTGTCCGGAAAGGAGTGGAGGACCCACTTCTACTCTCGGTAACGTAAACGGGTCCGGAGATTGATGCCCTGATGGCGCGTCTACCGTGGACCCCGTACTCGAGAGCATTCTCAGAGTGGCGTGAAGTCCATTTCCAGCTGAAGAAGAGCAGAGCATTCTTCCACCACCGCTTCTTGTTCTTCTTGATCTTCTTCTTCGACGATGAATAGTCATCCTTCGAGATGGGCTTTTGAAGCTTGAAGTGTAGTGCGTCTATGGCTATGGATGAGGAGGATCTTGACGAAGTCTCCCTCTTGTGCCTCCTAGCTTCCTCCAACACCTGCATTTTTAAAATTTGCAAAAAAGAAAACAAGAATCAAGATTGGTTATTATGCTTCTTAATTATACATTTCTCTAACTTGTTGGGCGAAAAAGGGTCACATTTAACTATGCAGGTAAATACCTGGATTCTAAACTAATTAAGAAATGAGAATGGATAGTATGAAGAGCACCTGAAAGTAATCAATTTGAGGATCAAAGCCATAGTCACTGAAGTGTTGAGGTTCTGACACAGGAAAAATGGGAGACTTGCTTGACATTTTTTTTATTTTGTAGTGGGGGATGGAAGTAGCAGGAGAGCCTTGGCCTTGAGCTGGTGCACTGAAGAATAGAATTATAGAAATGGGATGAGCGAGGAGTTCTTGCGGGGGAAATGGGGAGTAGTAAACATTGGTGCAAATGTGAAGTAGGGGGGCTCAAGGTGGGACTGACCGTTGGATGGATGCTGAGAATGAGAACACGCTACCCTACCCTAGTAGTCAATCTTGACCGTAACGCTAATTGCCTCGCGCGCATCTTGGTAGTGCCCAGGAGTCTGGACTCCCTATTTTATACGCTAAATTTGTAATGCATTTATTGTTCCATGCTTTTAGGGCTGGACATGTAGTTTACTTATTCCCACACATCCGCGTTTGGACAGCCATCTTACGTGGGAAAATTGCATGTTTTCTGTGATTATATTTTTTTATTATTATTTTTTTATATATAATAAATTATTACAGTAATTTTCTAAAAAAAAAAATTCTAAAAAATGCAATCTAAACAAGGCTAATTAATATTGAGACTTTTCTTTATTTGGGTACAGTTAACTTTGCCATGTGAATTCTCTTTCTCCTGTAGGATTACTGTCACTGTCCCCTGTAAGCATAAATATATCTACATTCTGCATCCGTTTATTGTCTAGAATCATGCACTTTATACCTGTGCAACATTTTTACAATTTAGTCATTGATTACACAGCCTTAAAAATAGATTCCTGTTCAAAACTCCATATATATATATATATATATATATTGCCCTCAATGTCTATTACTGAGAGATTGGGGTAGTAAACGAATCAAATTGCTTGCAAGTTCGATCAAAATTCGACTCAAATTTGATCAACATCAAGTAGAGTCGAACTCAAGCTCAATTAGATTCGAATTCGAGGTCGATCTCGAATTTGAGTTTTACATTAAAAATTCGTCAAGATCAAATTTGAATTCGAATTTGATAAAATTAAATCGAAACTCAACTCGATCAAATCAAATTTCAATTCTCGACCCAATTTGGCTTATTCGTAGTCCTAACTGAGTTTACCAAACAGTGAACCCTATAATTTCACTTTGAATTTTGCAAGCGTACATCATTGTTGTTGACAAGTAGCGTGTCTAATAATTTACTCTGATTATACTTTGACCGAAATTCTTGCTACTTCTAGGACTGCAATTGAATTAATCAGCACTTGTTGGCGTGTGTGGGAACCTCGATCGTTTGCATTTTCTCTTCTTTCCGTGTAGGATTTCCCCGGATGTGAACCATGGGAAATGGGATAGGTGTACATGAACGGACTCAAGTAAAATGTCTTGTTCCAAATTTAGACAGGACAGGACGAACACAAGAGGTTAGGCCATAATAAAAGTGCTTACTTGTGCCATAATAAAATTTCCTTCACTTGTTTGGTCACATTAGGAGTGCGTCTGAAGTATGGTGGAAATAGCATAATTGAGAATGACTAAATTTAGTAAGTTTTGCGGGATTGAGTGAGTAAATTTAAACTAAGCACAATAACACTGGCACTTTTTTTTTTTTTTTTTTTTTTTAATCGGCAACGATAGATATTTTATAATCTAATCTAACCTAATCTAGGGGGAAGGGGTAAGGGAAAATGGTCAATTAAGACCAACCATATATTGTGACAAATTTGAGGGAGACAAGAGTAGAATCTCTGATCTCGAGTATCATCAAAGAGAGTGATGATCACTGGACCAAATGCCAGTGGCCAATAACACTGGCACTGGCGGTGGTGGTTTTGTAACTTACTGTGTCCTAGCCCACATCTACGGCTGAAGAGAAATTAACAATAATCTAGGGTGCAGTGTGCTTTTAATGTTTTCACCCGACAACAACGTAGTTAAAATGTAGCCATCAGAAATCAATAGTGGAGTTATATGAGTTGTCTTCTTCCTCAACTACACATCAAAGTGCCAAGTAGAAAGCTAGACTATGATTTGTCACTGGGGATGCATGAGGCTTTTACCTGCCCCTCCTGCTGCTGCCGCCCGCTTACTGGGTAGAGTTGCTGCAGTTGAGAAATGAAATTTAGTGTTTGGATAGGGATTGTTTGTGTGAAATAATACGTAATTATTTGTTTATATTACAGATATACTCCCTCCCTTTTTTTATAACTGACGTTTAAGAAATTTGTTTTAGTGTACTTTTATTTGTCATTTTATTATCCCCATACAGTATTAATTTTTTTTTTTCATAATTTTATCCTTTTATCTCTCTTTTCCAATACAGGGTTCTTAATTATTACTCCTAGTAATTATTGCTTCTTTCTTTGTAACAACCCTAGTAATTAATGAGGGTACAAAAGGAAAGTAGTGTACAGATTTAAGCAATGAAAATATTTTTTTAATTAGTGTGTAAAACCTTAAACGTCAGTCATAAAAAAAAAAGGAGGGAGGATTTTTTTATTAATACTTTTACTTTTAAATTATCTTTTCATTTGGCGTACGTTTTACTGCAGTAATTGCTACATCATGAAAATTGGTGCAGTAAGTCAGTGTAGCATTGATGGCATGCTAGTGCGTTTGAAACTCATAGGTAACAAAAAGAAGGCATGAGTATCAAGTTACTACTACTACTTTTTACTATTTGGCTATATATATTATCTGAAACTCGAACAGATAAAGGAGAATTTTAGCATATGGTATATGTTCTTGTTGCCTCATCTATGAGCACGAGCAAGATAGATTACTACTAAAGAATGAGATCAATCCATTAGAATCCTCACAATATGGAACCTGAGCTCCCTCTAGTGGTTCCAGTACTTAAAAATTTTCTTCCTTCTCTGTGGTTATGATAAAGACAATCCAGAACAATTATCTGATATGTCAGCCTAGTCGTTTTTTGGCTACTAAGAGGAATACTTCATCATCCCCTTTTCCTATTTTCTTCTCCTACAATAAGAAGAAACTGCTGAACCATTTTGTGCTTGACCAGGGGAGCTAGCTGCATCCCCTGTTCTATTTCCATTCGGATTTAAAAAGCCACCGAAAAAACTCTTCAAGTCTGTCTCTCAAGTCTCATCTACATTGGCCAATTATTCAATGTCTCAATTATTTAGTTAGTAATGAATACTCACTACCACAAACTTCAATGCTCTACATGATGATTCTCATCTCAAACTGCTAGTTTCAGGCATCCCATGTCAGAAAAAGCCCATTTGAATTTCTGTCAATATCTCACTCAACACAACACAAATACACCTTCCAGAAAGCCCAAGAACCCTAACTTGATCGCACACTGTTCCAACCCTAACTTGATCGCAGACTCGCAAGATCCAGATTGAGAGCCAATTTCAGAAGCCACCCTTGTTGTGTCCTTTTCACAATCATAACCATTGCCTCAGCAGAATCCAAGCAATTCCATCATATGGGGGGCAGGCAGCAAATAGTACTGCACAGCCTGGCAAGCCACAAGCCACAGCGAAAAGGCACCCATTGCTACTTCCTAGTTTTAATACTCCTAAGTCATACTTTTTAAGTCCACGTACTAATCTAACTCTACATTCCCATGCATAATCTGACTTTTTGGGGATAATTTCAACAGTACTTTTGGGCGCATACGAGTTATACGTTTTTAAAAAGGTCATTACTACTCCATATTACAACACATTGGACCTTTACTTATCTAATTCTCTAACCATTACGGTGTTGCAGTTGACTTGTTGGATCAGTAATCCTTTGGGTCCTGAATTCAGCAAGAAATAGGCTTTTAATTGTTTACAACCGTACCTGGGAAGGAATCTATTGCACGCACTTCTACGTTGCCAGTACAGTATAAACGAGATGAGATCAATTACTCCCTCAGAACTTGAAACAGCTCGAATAATTTGAAGAGCTCGAATTTGAGCTTTATGCAAGAGGGATTGAAAGCTCATCAAGCTTTTAACACAAACACACGTGCGTGCACGCGCATATATATATATATATATATATATGCAAATTGTTCATATGTATATATATATATATATATAGAGATATCCCAAGTGTAAAATTATATGATGTACTAATATACGTCACTTAAGCTTGATTGAACTTGGCTCTGATCGAAAGCTACTAGTACACGGCTTTTCCCATGGCCCAACCAATTCCCATTCCAATACCTATTGCACTTCCAACTACGAGGTAGCAGCCCTTTACCAAACCGCATCACATTCACCCATGACAAGAACCCTTCCTGTGTCCAATACCGTCATTTCAACTACTCCCGCGTCAACACTGGCGCCTACTCCTACTGCAGCGCTTTCAACTTCCAATTTTACTCATCCTCCCACGTAGTTGGTCTCACTGAAACCAACAAGAACCTTCCTAATCCCCTCTCTCTCTCTCTCAATTCTCATCGTCTTATAATCCCCTTCACTTCCTCTGCCCCTTCATTCCTTCTGCATTAAGCATACCCTTCCCCTTCCTTTCTTTAATTCTCTCGAAAACCCATAAAAAATAGTAGTGATTATGGACGCTGATCACTCCGTTCCTCGTATTCCAAACACACCAAACCCAAAAGACTTTGCCATGGGCGGAAAAATAATGCTCAGTGCTATAGTCATCTTATTCCTTGTCGTAGTTTTGATGGTCGCCCTTCATTTATACGCCCGGTGGTACCTCCTCCGCGAACGGCGCCGCCAACTCCTCCGCAGGAGGAGCCGTTTGAACAGTCACAGAAGAGCCCACATCGTCTTTTACGTTGACAACAATCCCGCTGCTCACCCGGCCCCCAATAGCGGCCTTGAACCGTCCGTGATTGCTTCTCTTCCGGTTTTTGTTTACAGCCCGAAAACTCAGCCGGAGGGGATGGACTGCGCCGTCTGCTTATCGGAGTTTGAGGAGAATGAAAAGGGAAGGCTGTTGCCCAAATGCAACCATTCTTTTCACGCTGATTGCATTGATATGTGGTTTCATTCGCACTCCACCTGCCCAATTTGTCGAGCTGCGGTCGAACCGGTTCCGGAACCGGCGGCGAGCAATTCCGCGGTTGAACCGGAGGGGAGCAGGATTGAACCCGGTTTGAGTTCCGGGTTGTGCCCGGCTTGTGTTCATGAGGAGGGAGACTGCTCTTCTACGGCGTCGCTGGGGTTGAGGAGGAAGGGGCTGGATTCGACGGCTGTGAGAATCGAGGTTCCGAGGAGGAGTGCGTTCGAGCCCGAGTTGCCGCTGAGTTCACCCGCGAGTCACGGTTTTAGGTCGCCCGGGACTCGGTTGTTGTCTTTGAAGAGAATACTGAGCATGGGCCGAAAAACACCCGGCACAGCACCTGCGACGCCGTGTGGGGCGGGAACGAGTTGCAGCTCGGGACCGACTCAGTTTGATTTGGAGAGTGGACCGGCTGAGTTGACTCAGAGCCGGGTGCTGACCCCGAGGTGAGGGGTCTTGGTGTCAGTCCCGCAATAGTTGAACAGTATGGAGAAATCGCAAGCAGATATTTTGACCAGTGTCAGAAATCTGGAGAGCCGCCCGATGCAGTGCGAATTCTTGAGTAGGCGTGGCGACTGGTGGATGACTGAAATGGTTGACCTGTAAATAGATAAGGATGGTGGGTTAGGGTTACTACTGCTGACGGCGAGACTTCTATATTGTGTAATCCACCAGTCCTAAATTATTCATTCAATTATTTGATTTTAGCACATTACATTTGGCCGATTTTTACTTGGACACCATGAGATTTTTTGTCTTTTGATCTATATTTAGATAGATAATGAAAGTATGGGCCATTCTTGTAATCAAATTCAACAACAAGTTCTTGATCTAATAATTGAGATTGAGATTTCAAACTCAAATATTAGAAATTCTCAATTCTAATTTCTTTATATTTTCTCCAATTCACTTCTTCTGTGTCACCCAATAAAAAAAAAGAAAAAATTAAACTCGAACATGTTAATATTACACACGCGGATTGGAATATACATATGCATATATATATATATATATGTTGTTCAATGTTTTCTGAAAAATCGGGACATCATCAATATATACGATGATAAATGAGGAATAAGAACTAAATATCTCATTCATAATCCTTTGGAATTCAGAAGGAGCATTTTTAAGTCCAAATAGCATCACGTTTCATTTGTAATGTCCAAATGGTACTGTGAATACTATTTTGTATCTGTCTGAGATACGAATTTGAATTTGTCAAAATCCTGACTTCATATCGAATTTTGAGAATATCTTGGCAGAATAAAGCCTTTGAAGTAAATCATTCTTGTTTGGTATAGGATATCTGATCCATCGAAGGGCTTTATTGAAGGCTTTGTAATTGATTACAAGCCTTGGAACTACTCTTTCAATCTCTGATTGTTTGTTGACGTAGAATGCTGGACAGCTCCATGGAAATTGACTTGGACTAATAATGCCTTTGGATATATATATATATATATATATATATATATATATATATATATAGAGTACAAGAGTTTATGCCTATAGAATTCGCTTTGTCCCATTAATTGGAGAAATTTCGATAGCCTATATGTTATGCGTGACAGATTAGATAGGGTGCACCTTCTGATATTAGTAGTATTTAATTATAAAGGTGAAGAAATAAATCAAGATTCCAAGTGGGCTAAGATAAAAGTTTTCCATTCCCGTGACGCACGCGTAATTTCTCTTCACCTTCTGACTAACAAAAGAAAATAGAACGAAGGATTTGAGCTTCTTTGCAAGTGTGTCACACTAATTTTAAGGGATGATGCCAGCTTGGGATTGTTTTTCTTATTAGTTGCTGCTGATTAGCGAAGGGAATTTTTAGTAAGCTGTGAAAGCAGCAAAAGCCAAAACTGCCACCAGACATTTCCTTTCCTTTCCTTTCCAATGCAAACAAACAAGCGGAAAGTTGTTGAGACAGTCCTTGACCTTGACCAGCTTCAAACTACAAACGTTGACTGACATCAGCATTAGCATCAGGAGACCAGAGAGAGTGGGAATAATAAGGAACGTAACTCATTTGCCTGGAACTTGCAATAAGACGATTAAAGCAAGCAGTTCATCGGCATTTCAACGTGGAGGCAGGTCTTCCCAAGCTGAATTCCAATTTTATATATATAAATAAAAGATAGAAAGAAAGGAAAAGATATTATTGGTCTTCTTTTATTCTTTTTTTTTGTCAAAGTCAGCGGACTTTTGGACGTTTTTCTATGAATCTTAACCCTGTGGGAATCCATAAAAACCGGCAACTTTTGAGAATTTCACAGGAGACTTATATACTAACCACCCAAATTTCCCCCCCCCCCACTCCGACGTGGGATATCAACCTCCACGAGGGAGCCTGCTAGATCCTAAGGATGACTTCTGAGGGTCTTCTTTTATTCAACTACTTCAAAAGGATGACTTCTGCTGTCACCTGACAGCATTGACAATTTTCAACGAGCTCCACTTGGATCCACCATCTTTCACCGTAAACTTTAGTTCAGTCAAAGAAAACACGCTTGAAAAAAAGGGTCACGTTTCTGCGTTGAAATACACTGCACGGAGAAGATGGTTTACGTGCGGAGTTAGGACAATAATAATAAGCCACCCGATCGATCCTCGTACGAGTTCTTTAACTCTTCAAAATTCCAAATACTTCCCACCATTTTATTTTATTTTCTATCCACAATCATGTGAGGCTTTCATTAAGGGCATTTAATTTAATTGATTTGATTTGATTTTATTTGCAGAATGGGTCTAAAGAATAATAATAATAATAATATATGTTACAAATTACGATCATCTTTTAGTACAGTACATTCTAGGTATCAGCTTTAGCTAATCAACTTCTCTACTAACTGTTAGAATTACTACAGCTCTAATTCCACCTTTGTCTTCTACATTACTACACTCCATTCAGCAAATGATCTGTTAAGGTCCACAGTATAACATTCTCACTCTGTTATCCTGCTAGATGTAAGTTCACCGGTTCAACCAAGCGCGATTTTCGCCTCTTTTTGCCTTCAGGAGTACAGATTTTCGAGACACCACCAGGCTTTCCCAGTTTTACAGAGAGTCTACAAGTCGAGGTGGATACTGAAGATGGTATTGGTATGTCTGCTGCAACGGGGCAGTTTTCCTTACCAGGCTTCTTGTGCCTTTCACCTCTAGTGCACCCTTTAGGACCCTTGGGAGATTTAGCTCTCTTCTTTGACAGTTGAGGCGGTGCTACATCACTTCGCTTCTCGTTTTGGAGCAGATGGACGAGAAATGGATTCCCGACCGTGTAACAGATAGATCCACCATCACCCCCACTCTTCTCCAAATCCACGTATCCATCGTTCACCTGTTCGTAGAGATGAGAAGGTCGAAATTTAGGACAATGCCACCTCATCCTTATTATATAAAATACGAATCCAAATAAATTACTCCTCCAACTCAACCAGAATTCTTGTGGGAAAGTTTCTCATGCACGCCCTAATTAGAAATTGGTTAGAATCGTCGGTTTGCAAGATAATCTAAGTCCAAAGTGAAGGGTTTACCAATTGAAGAAGAGCAGAAAATGTTCGAGCAACATCGTGCTTTTCTTGGCCCTTGACCACATCAGCAAAAGACATGGAAATTCCGGTGTCTCCTGCCATATGTAGCTTATCCATAACCCTTTCACCATACTGATGAATATCAAATGGAGGCCGCGCGTCCTGTCAGAGTGTCAATATTGGCTCGCATCAGAAGCACGTTATGGAAATACCAGTAGAAAGATGGATATCAAATAACTATAGACATGTGGTATGCACAAACTTGCTCTTCCAAGTTGTGCTCAATTCTCTGTTTCCATGTTGAAACCCGAGCAGCTAATTCCGTCTGTTTCTCAGTTTCAGCAAGACTAGCAAGGAGAGAATCCTACAGATATCAATATAGTTTCACTAAGTCAATATTGCACCTAGACAATTCAAAGACACTTCTGCATGAGAAGGAATTACAGTTCAACACTTGAATATGGCATTGTGAACTTCTTTTGGCAAAACCTAGTGATCCCACTTCATTGTACAATTCAAATCACTATTGAGAAACGCATGCAGTTTCTTCGAGATCCAGACATACAAACCACAATTTTATACGGCAGCACCAAGAGAAACTGAAAACTAGAAAAGATTAAGAAAGTGCCTATCTCACAATATGAATTTTGAGCTTCTGTGTTTCCCTCCAAATACATTGTTTACCCATTCAAATATATGACCTCCTCCGAGCAGACATGCTCACACTAAACAGTGACAACCAAGATAAGAAGTCAACCTTTAATCAGCTGACTGAGATAGGAAGCGTTTCTGTGGCTTACCAAGTGGGAGCGACAAAGATCTTCAAGGCTTGCATGAGAAGTGGGATTTTCATAACCTTCATCTCGGTCCAAGTGAATGTCACCATCATGCTACACAAAAGTTGAAAAGTGAACCATTTGTCTAGATGTGCACAACACCACCATTTCACCACACATACAAGTTTCAAATATGGAAGCACATCAACAGCCTGCCTAACCTTATCTTGCTGAGGTACATCTTCATAAATGTATGTATCCTCTGGCATGTCAAAATCAGGCGGCTCATTTCCTGGATCCTCACTGTCATATCCATCATCTGTGTTGTTCTCTTTAGGATTAGGAACAGCATTGTATTCTGTGTTCCTCCCTCGAACAAAAAATGATTGCCGCAGCTGCAAACAATGGTTTGTCAATATAGAAAAGAAGTCCAACTCAGAGCAAAACGTATAACACAGATAAACCAACCTTCTCAAAGAGTGGAGGAGAATGTGGTTCTGCTGGCCTCTGTAAGGTGGAGCATCTTGCTTCCCATATTTCAGCGAGTTCTGAACTAGGACCATCTTGTCTTGCAAGAGGAAACTCTGCCATCAGAGGATCAGATTTCCGCCAATTGGCCACCAGCTTTCCTTTCACTTTGACTGCTTGGAACAAAATGAAAATTTAACAAATCAGGCGTTTATTTAAGACAGGAAAAGAGCAAGAATGGCAACAGAATAGTCTAATAACCTCTTTTATAAGGCTTGACTTTTAAATTCCCTAGTTCATGGGGATTGAGAGGTTTCCATGGATCATCACTATCAGAATCATCTGATTCGGCATACTCATTTTCCATGTTGAAATGACCACCGTCATCTCCAGGAAAATCATAGGCAGGCAGAGAAGACCCAACACCATGGTCATTCAATTTGACACCATGATCGACCAATGGAGACTGATTGATTTCAGCATCTTGATATTTTTGAGCCGACAGCTTGTGGCCGGTACCCCCAGAACGTCTGGTTGGGGACTGAAAGCTCTTGCAACTTTTACAGTTCAAGGAGCTTCCTCTACAGACATCATTGTGGAGTTTTCCAGCTTTACTCTGACTGTTCAAGAAGTCGATGACTGCTACTGCATCAGATGAGTCTAACAAAATAAAATCCTGGAAAAGATCATTGGTGGCTAGCTGCAAGCACAAAATGACATGTATTGAGAATGAGAGCATCCTTAGACAAACCACGTTCGTAATACTTAACAAATACCAGATAGGACTCTAGTTCCCCAGCATCTCCAATAGCATCTAAGCAATCACCTTCAAGGACAACCAAATTTGCAGGGGGTCTCACAAAATGATGTGCTGGTATATCTTTGCCATTCACACTATCTAATATATTCTTTGCTTCAACTGCAACACAGAAAAGTTTTAATCCAAGAGATGTTTTGCAACCATATCACAACAAGATAAAAAAGAAACAACATACCTGGAATGTCATCTAAGCCCCAAAATCTATCATCTTCTTCCTCATGAGGAGCCTCTAAACCACTTTCTTCTGATTGGGCTGATGCACTCGTTCCTTGTTCTTGTGAACTA